TACAGTAAACTGTAGTTTAATCTAAAACTACAGTTTTAGATTAAACTACAGTTTATTTTATTAACAAGTCTAGTTGAAGCTCTATTTATATAATAGTATAGTTTATAGTTTATCAGACTCAATTTCTGAAAAGTCTTCAGGAATTGAGTCTGTTAAACTTTAGACTGTAAAGCTTTTTTTTGATTATTTCATATTCAAACCCAAACATGTTCGTGAACTTCGAACTGAACTCAGACCAAATATATAACTGTGTTTAAGTCTAGTTCGAGTTTGGAAACTCTGAGTTTGAGTCTGAGTTTAGGTTTAAAATTAGTAAAATTATACTGTTTGAGTTTAGTTCGAGTTCAGGTTTGATCCGAACTAGACCAAATCTGAACTAAATCTAGGAACCCTATTATTTTGTATATATGTACTAAAATGTTTTATAAAATTCTTCTAGAATTTATCACTATGGTAGGAAGGGTTATTTAAGGTATAAAAATAATAATAGTTTACAGTATCTATTGCTTATATAACTGCCTTTAGATTATTAAGTAATGCCAGATGTATTAAAGTTTGGCTATGTATATTAGTAACATATTCTAGCTTTACAATATACCAAAACTACACTAACCCTTTTAGTAATTGAAGATTACCTCGTGCAAAAATTCTCATTTGGGTCTTTTCTTTTTGAGAGATACATAAGGTTATTATATTTGAAGAATTTTGTAATTCTATATAATTTCAAATTTCTATGGCATGTTTTAGTTTTTTCTAATTATATCAGAGATGCTGATATATATCTCTTCTTGTGAGTGGTTCTTCTATCCCTAACCATTGTCCAAGAGAAAGCCATAATTGTTTATTTAGATCTTTTGTTTTGGACTTCACTTGGGTAACATAATTGACTTTAATTATCTCATTATTAATAAGTACTAGAAAATCAGATAGGATCTTGAATAGCTCAACTCTATTTACTAATACAGCTTCTCGAACTAATGTTTCTATTAATAATTCCTCTGCAAAAACTTTTTCTTGACTTTTAACTCCTTTTAATGCTATGCGATCGAATAGGCTAAGCAGAATGCTCTTTCACTCTTTTTCAATATAAAATATTTTATCTTGTATATATAACTCCTGAGTTGTATGTTAGGTCCAATGCTAATAATTAATAACACAAAAGATAAAATTAATATTAAGCTAATTAATAGATTTGGATGAGTTTTTAGATTTATCCTCTTCAGTCTAATATTTTTGTGGACTAAACCAACTACTTTAATTAATTATTAGGTTATTAAAAAACTAACTGTGTGTCTGTTGAACCACAAATATACTCAGTAGAAGCTCTATCATTTCTACTATAAAATGAAATTTTTTGCATATCTGAGTATATTCAATAATAGCTTGGAAAGGTCAACTGATCAACACAAAAATAATCTTAGCAGTGAGGAAAGAATTTGATAATTATAAATAATATATACCCAGTTCGGATCAAAAATAATATCATTAATTATTAATGCTATAGTTGGTGCAATAGGTAAATTGTAGTCCATTGGTAGGGTCAAAATTTGTTTTTTTCCAAGCCTACATTTTTTATTATAATGAGCATGACGTAACAACTTTTTAGTTGGTTTCTCTTGGGATATGTTAACAAGGTTAAAAATTTCATTTTCATTTTTATGCTTCTCAATAGATTCTTGTATTGTTTATGAATTTAAAAAATGTTCTCGATATATTACTGACAGGTAGAAATTTTTAGTGATATATATAGCAAAGCTTACAATATTATAAAAAATAAATTATAAAAGTTTATGCTAGGAGGTGCACCTTTTATTAGAAAATACAATTATAACTAAAGGTATAGTTACTTCTAACGTGTATTAATTTATAAATTTGCCAAATATTTTTTTATCATAGCATTATATATTGCAAAACATAACTTGACAATTTAACACTTTGCAATTACAAAGTGCACTTTCTAAAAAATAGTAATTCATCAAAACAATGGTTAGCACGTTGCTTTATTTGACATTATATAATAGACATAGTAATTTTCTAATAAATAATTACATGTTTACAAAATTTAGCACCACAATTATTGAACACAGCAATTCAATCAACAATCACATGTTTTCTATATTTAGATTAGATAGTTAGCAGATATTTGGTTATACAGAGTATAGTAATAATTTTACGTACATGTTATATATCCTAAGCCCGATTTATAAATTTAGAATAAGCACTATACACTTTTTTATATATGCTATTATAACAAAACATGTTGATTAAACATCTAGCATTTTTTAACGATTTATTTCAATATTGATCTATGCTAAAAAAAATAAGTACATATTATATCATATTATATGATTTAATAGTCCTGCAGATCTGCTTTTATTTTGGTTCTCTTTTTTCTTGCAGCCTTGAAAAAAGAAATCTGATAATCTATCTTTTTTTCGAATTCGATCAGACAAAAGAGGTTGAAGCTAAAATAGCAATAAAAACTTAACTAGCTTTATTAATTAATAGCTGCATAAAATTTTATATAGTATTACCTTTATTTCTCACGGTCAATTTTTTATTAAGTTAATAAGTAGTGCTAATATGAATAGCATTCTTAGCTAATATATGATCTCGCGATAAGAATAGGACTTAAAAAGACTATAAGAGTAATAAGTATAATATTCTTTATCAGTAGTTTTATCTAAATTCATATGTCGCAGGGATTTGGAATCTCTGCTATCTCCTGAGATTATCAGATCTAAATCTATCTTAAGTGATTATTGAATCTAAGAAGGGTTAATTTTACTAAAAAAATAACAAAATAGGCTCAGTGTTTAGAACTTATAACTGAGCGGAGTTGCTTTATATAGCAGAATCTAGATTATATTAGAGTAACATAATTACTAATCATATATTTTTTTCTGTTAGTCTGTTTTTTAGATCTAGTGAATGAACAGTATAAAATAAG